TTACACTGCTAAATTAGGGACGGCTAGCGCAGATAGCCCTCGTGTAGCTTTGCGCAAAATTAAAAACAAAAAAAACAAACAAACAAACATAATTTAAACTCTCACTGTGTGGTAATAAACACGATAGTGTGATCAGTTTAAATATACCTATATTTATCAAGTGCTTTAGACATTGGTACGCATTGGTTGTGAGCATAGCTCGCCACTAATAATTGATAAGCCTAAACTTCGTGCCAGTTTTCTAATCATCATTGGAAACACGTTCTATTATTCATGTCATACATAAGGAGTTAAGATCACACCCAATTTAAAATTAGATATTTTACCTTATAAGGGTGGAAGTTGTAAAATAAAGAATTTGATAGAAATGACAAAATATTTATAAATTACGACCACACGACTTATACGAAGATACAACTTCTGTGTTTTTTTAATATTATAAGTATTCTAAGGATCGTTTTTTTTGTTCCGTGTTTTTCTTGTGAAATATCTATCACTAAAATACGGGTCATTTTCATACTAATAATGTATCTGATGATCGGTCATGTGACTTGAAACGCAAATGATTGGTCATTCATGCTACTATGAATATATTTGCCTTATTCGTCAGTTTGAAGCAAACAGCGGACCTTATAGTGTTTCAATTGATCATAACCATAGTTAGACCTCAAAGAAGACATTGGATAAATGGAAGCCAGCTAATCACAACAAGTTGTTAGGAGTTGGCTACAAGTGGCTCAAAGTGTAATGAGAGAATGTTGAACTACTTCCAAACTAATGGTGCAGCTGCTCAAACATTTGAACAAGACGGACCACCATACACAATACAGGCAGATATCTCACGAATCTGGCTCACAAAAATTTCATTTTATATTCTTCGATACTGAATTAGTAGTCGCAGCTGCAACTAAACGCCATGACACTGTACAAGGTTAAGAGGCACACTTCACAAGTCTCGTCTGCACACCAGATATCCAATATACTATATTCTGCCTATATTGAGACACCAAACAATTAATCTATAATAGTTCTAAGAACACTAACAATTGACCAGCGATATAAGGATCAATTTTCCTCTTACAGATGAGTCGTATATCCACATTTGAGCCACCTATTTGGAGAGAATATGAAACCAGATCCAACCATATTTTCATATATAAAATGACACATTTGACAGTAATGAAAGTATAGTACGTGCATGAACACACACTTACGGACGTACTGACCTTTATACCCTGTAGAAATGTGTCATTGATGCTAAATATTATACGTACCATATCCTACAATACTTTATGCTTTCATATGTTGGTGCGCGTAGCCATGACTTTAGACTAGTACAAGTAGCCATAACTAAGGCTCATCCCAACCATGATAAACAGGTTGACGAAGTACGGTTTTGTTTCGTTTTGAATTTCGCGCAAAACTACACAAGGGCTATCTGCGCTAGCCCTCCCTCGTGTAGCAGTGTAAGACAAGAGGGAAGGCAGCTAGTCATCACCATCCACCTCCAACTCTTGAGCTACTCTTTTACCAACGAATAGTAGGATTGACCGTAATGCTATGATGCCCTCACGGCCGAAAGGGCGAGCCTGTTTGGTGGGACGGGGATTAGAACCCGCGACTCTCAGATTGGGAGACGAGCGCCCTAACCACCTGGCCATGCCGGGCCGATAAAGAGCGAACTGACTGAATGCAGACGACGCGTTGTGCATATAGTGATAAAAATATAATAGGCCTAACACTAACGTCTTATCACAAATATAATTAATTATAATCCTTCTTCGTCAGCTCGTAACAGGCCTTCACATCATAACGACCCCCCCCCCCCAGTGGCACAGCGGTTTGTCTGCGGACTTAAAACGCTATAAACCGGGTTTCGATACCCGTGGTGGGCAGAGCACAAATAGCCCATTGTGTAGTCTTGCGCTTAATTCCACACAAACACATTATAACTAGTTGATAATGTTTGTTTGTTTCAGATATCTGTGTAAAGCTACACAAGTGCTATCTGCACTAACAATCACTAATTTTAAAATGATATATTAAAGCAGTATTTCTCATCCAGATCTTCCAGACGATTTCCGCGTCCAGTCTTTGATTGTCGCGAACTCCCCATTATCTCTACAAGGATGAAAACATTCTTGATGTTTCTTGGCGGAGTTCGTCACAGACCATAACAAAATTGATATGTGCACCTTTCAGACACCTCGAGGACTGAAAAAAAGTGTTGACTCTGGAAATCTGCTTGCAACCCCCAAATGGGTCGTGATCCACCCTTTGAGAAACAATTGATTAGAGGGAAGGCATTTAGTCAACAAGACCCACTACCAATTCTTGGTCTACTTGAATCGAATACTACCATCTGACTGCCACTTTTATAACACATTCACAGTCTCAACGTCAGGAGCCAGATTTTGCAACAGTCATGGGCCTCGGATTTACAGTGTGGCATGCAACAACTGGCCACGCTTGGCTGATTTGAAAATTATATTATAACGTGTGTATTTTTACTATATTTACCCGAAACGACCTGTAAGTTGTGCATATTTACTTTAGTTATTGTTTGTTTGTTTTGAATTTCGCGTAAAGCTACACGAGGGCTATCTGCGCTAGCCGTCCCTAATTTAGCAGTGTAAGACTAGAGGGAAGGCAGCTAGTCATCACCACCCACCGCCTACTCTTGGGCTACTCTTTTACCAACGAATAGTGGGATTAACCGTCACATTATAACGCCTCCACGGCTGAAAGGGCGAGCATGTTTGGTGTGACGGAGATTCGAACCCGCGACTCTCAGATTGCGAGTCGAGTGTCCTAACCACCTGGCCATGCCGGGCCTACCTTGGTTAAAAGTAAATATATATTTCGATGAATTCTGATTTGCAAATCTTTTAGCTTTATTTTGTTCAATTGCAGTAAATTCTTAGTATCCAATTAGGAATTTATATATCTATAATAAGAATCTCAAAATAATTCTGAACATAAATTATTTGATTGAAATATGATTAAAACTAACATTAAAACAAAAACAAAGATTATACTATTGTTTTGCAAAACACGAGAATAAAAAAGAAGTTGGTAGTATAAAAAAATTAGAACTCAGGCCGAATCTTCATTTCTGTTCGCTTGAGAGATAATTCCCAATTGTTTCTTAAATGATACCAATATATTCCTTGACCTACTGGTTTGACACGCCCATCAGACTGGTAGATTCCGTTCAAAAGACTCTTGGTACAATCTTTAAACCACCATGCTGCTTGGTGAGTTTTAGCACATTCCTTGTTGTGGAACTTGTCTTTGGTTGAAAAGTAAGTGTCGTTATGATAGGACAAGGAGTCTCCTGAAATGAATACCGTTAGAAATATAATTCGAATTAGTTTTTTTAGAAGAGTAAATATTTTATATGCGGAAACATCTGTTATTAAAACACATAAACCTGTCCTTTGCCGCCAAAAAGAATTATTATACTATCTACATATCCTTCAGTAGGCCTGTGACATTTCCT